TTTAGGCAACACTCTTTCATCCGGTGTCACACACTAAACGTCACATACTAAACTCTCTGCGGCTCTGGGGTGTTTCCCAGAGGCTACTATGGTTGCAAGTTCCGTCGTTACCAATAGAGTTCATAGAAGCGGTGTAGGCCTAAAGAATAAAGTGCTTTACTGTTGCCCAGTCGCAAACAACGTAAATGTTTTATGTTGTTTTTGGTTTAGTAATTTATATAGTTGGCTTAGGCTAATATAAATTCAATGCACTAGAATTTGTTGCAGATTATTTTCCAAGTAGTCTGTGGCATGGCTTCAGTAGTCCCTTTAGAATGATATTACTCGTGAAAAGTGCTTTACAGATCTGTTTGGTCAATATAATTAGCTTCAGCTGAGGGTGCGCTTGTGATAGTTTCAGGAAAGCTGCTCATATGCGAGTAAATTCACATTCAACTTTAGTGATGCAAATTCTGATTCATTTCCGCAAACCGGTTCTTTCTGGACAGTTCGGCTCATTGAACCGGTTCAAAAAGACGATTAATCGGTTCCTGACGTCATCAAGCAATGACGCCACTACACATATCTTTTCTAACAACTCATGTTGTATCAATGAAACATTCAAATAAAGTCATTTCCGTCGACACATCTTGATACATTCACATAAAAAGTCACTTATGTGAACGCATATTGCTAATTATTGCTTTTAATTCACTTAAGTTGATGTTTGTGGTCAGAGTTTCTTTCGTGGAACGTTTATGTCAGATACAACGGACCAATATTACCTAACCTACAACTTAAGATTCCTAAAAGTTTTGTAGCTATAGCGCACATTACAGACATTGATGTCTTATAAATTCCTTGATTTCACTTCAACTTAAAATATAACCTGCATGCACAAACTATAGTAACATGTATTTACATCTCTCAACAGAAAGGTTTTTGCAGGTTGTAATAAAATGTTAATTCAACAGTAATCATAAGCATATTTCCATATTTCCAGCTCTGTGCTGATGGAGACCTCGTGTGATGAGCTTGAGTAATGACAGAGATCTCAGTCTCATCATTTCAGTACAAACTCAGCTTCTTTATCAGGAGAAAATGTTCTTACAAACTGCAGTAATCAGTGAGAGCTTGTTAATACACTTTCAAACATGCAGGCTTTCTAAATATCTTTATGAATTAGCCGTTTTCTCTCTCTAGGATATATAGACTCACAGCACAGGTAATTTTGTCCCTCATATTTTTGTTTCAGGAATATAAAAAAAATACACTGTCACGGCTTTCTACTGAGACGTTGCCGTTGAACAGGAGTGAGCAAGTCTATTCAACGCTGTGTTCATAAACATGTAGGCTACATGTGAAGTTCAGACCTTTTGTCACCGCATATATCATCGCTGCACATACTGCATAATCCACACTGTACCCTTTAGCACGATCAAAACACAATTACACACAGGTGCTCTA